GTGTGTGTGTGTGTGTGTGTGTGTGTGTGTGGTCTCTAAATCACTAGTCTCTCAAATCGCACTCCCCGGAAATCGCTCCCTGAATACAAGGGAATTCTAATTATTTTACCGAGACCTCATTTGGATCAAGTCGAGTTTTTTTTGAATGAACTTAAATCGCAAGCATTTACAACAACGTCTACTACCAACAAATAGGGTTCTGGAGGCCCTTGCTGTTATACCTACATTTTTCTCCCCTATCTTAACCATTTTACCTGACCAAGTCGTGCTCTCTGACTTGGCTTGCGTTACCATTACACTGTCATCATTCAATCAGGCTAATATTTCCTAAATCTAAAATTATTGCTTTGGAGAGGAGCCGATTTCTCCAGCTGACAATTACTGATTGTTAATATTTCTCACATATATTTAATTTATTAATCATGACTTAAGATCACTTCCGCTGGGATAACTACCATGTTCCAACTGATTTTAAGTGCACTTCACACTCGATCTTTTCGGTGAACGTATCTTGGAATTACTACTTGCTTGTCTTCTCCAGCCCAGTCATCTGAATTGGTTTTATTGACCGTTTGTGCTTAATTCCCCTACTGTTACTTCATTCTCGAATCTTTATCTCTTGTTCAGATTACCTTTCTTATGCCCGAAGCAAGCACTGTTGACATCACCCTTTTAATGCAGTGTGGAAGTTTGGCATAGCACTCGACGTTGCCATACGTCTACATTCTCATATTTTTACTCTCTTGATTTCAATATTGAATTTTATTTCATCTGGGTTTGATCGAAATTGGGGGAATCAGCACTTGTCTTTCAAGTGTCCGCTTAATTTCTTAAACTCTCGAAATTATCTAATGCGTTGTGATCTAAAATACGAAGTAGCATCCAGCGTCATTATCATTCACAAAATTTCGTAGCAATCATGATCCAATAGGCGTCTATTTCATCTACATTTGCTACACGATTTCTGGCATTTACAATGATGGATTTTTCTGATTGTATACTCGTGTTACTTCGGTGTTTTTTGACTGATCGGGATGGGGTGGGGTTGGGGCTGGTGATAGGAAGAGAATGCGTGACATTAAAGAGGTGGCATCGCGCAGCATTTTATTCCATCTTTCTATCCTGGCATCCGGATCGTGAAGAGATGACGAGCGAGAGAGAGAGGCCTTGCTTGGATTTATTGCTTTTAGCGTGCTACTTCGCCTACCATTTTGTTCACCTCTCTCTCTCTTCAGCGAAATTAAGCCGTAGCTACCTGTGTACAGGTTTTAGACGCACTATTGTCCATGGGGTGTGTGTGCGCGTTTTATTGCCTTTGTGGAGCCGTGATGTAACAACCATTCTTTAGTTAGAGTTTGGATACAATTAATAATTATCTGGGTCCTGATTCTGCCAAAGCCGAGCTGTACAGTTTGATAATTGCGCTCCTCGTTATATCCACTCTGCTGTCTCTAGACTAATTTGGAAAATGAATATCCGTCTTCTCTCCTTTCAATGTGCTTTTCGGTTAATCCATTTTCAGTTTTCAAGGTTAGATCGATATACAGTATGCTAGTGTTTCAATTATGTGTGTTGGGGGAGGGTTTTGGGTTTATTAACGAAATTCCGTTCATTCCGATTGAGCGGATCGGAACAGTGGTGGCAAACTACTTCAAGGTCTTTTAATGAATTAAGTTAATTTAGAGATTGAGGAATGAATTAGCTTTTCTAATCGATTAACAATTTTAATTTTTTCTCATTGGAATTAAATTTTAACGGGAAGTGAAGTGCAACTTGAGCACAATGGGCTTCTCTTCTTTGCATTTTCCCTAGTGCGAAGTGTTGCGAGTTATTTGTCCCTCTAGAATATTCCTTTTCAACTGAATATGAAGTGAATATGATCTTGCATTTCCTGAAATATGGTAAATATATATTTGCTCGTAGTGTTTAAAGCTGATAAATTAAACATGTCGTGGGACCTGATGCTGCGTTGTATTTTAAATAAGCAGAGTGAGAATCTCGCTCTCTTTCTATTTATTCCTCCTACAACATTTAACTAATCTTATCTCTATGTGTGAAATAAGGTAGGAATCAGTTGTGCCTAAGGTAAGGTCAAATGTGGTATTCATGAATCAATTGATTTGCACAAAATTGAATAACACTGAGGTTGGGTCATGCAATGTTTACTTGCAGCCTTGAACAGGTGGTTCTCGACCAGTAACCCAGTGTGCGTTTGTGATATTCACCTCAAGCTAAGTAATAACAAATATGAACTAATCTCGAAGTTGGTTTTAATTTATTTTTTTACATAAGTCTTATCGCGTTTCTGACTAACTACTCCGCTTTTAGACCTAGGAATTTGCTATCTAATTTTTCGTCGCTGGATAATTTTAACTTGGTTACTTGTAAAATGTGGTAGAATTAACTGCGCTCTTTTTTTAACAAGTGACTGTCTATTCAAGATCTGTTCTGACAAATTGTGCCATTTAAATTTTTCCATATTAGTTGAATAAATGGCAGAATTCCTTAATGCGGTCATTGGTTTAATTGCAATGAGAGTGCCAAGTGATGAGATTATTTCCATGTTTGAACCATTTTCATCATGCCAAATTAGCTAACTTTTAAGGGGTAATGATTCCATGATTCGTGTGTGTTATCATTTGAGGAAGTGTACCTCATTTCGAATCTCCTAAAGTACTCTCTCCTGCAATGAGGCGGCTGTTACTCCCAACGGTATTAATTTTTCCGGTCCTGGTTTTAATCGCATATTCGCTGTAGGAGGATTGAGTAATTGTACTCTGTGCAGGGGATAAGTAGTGTGATGGTGGTGGTGTTTTGGGGTGGGGTGGGGGGGGGGGGGGGGGGGGGGGGGGTTGAAGGGGGCGGAGGTTGGTTGTAACTTCGCCCATTAGATTTAGAGTGTTTATAAATAACGGTTTATCTTTAAAGTCTTTTTTTCGCAATGACTCCCATTAGTTTGTGAGACCTAAAACATGTGGCCCAATTATTTATGGAAAATAATGGCATCATTGAGTCCCCCTTATTATTTTTTAAATGAAAAAATGAGGTCTGTTTTACAGCACCTCACATGTTGCTTTCAATGGTCTACCAATTAATTTGTTTTCACAATATATCCATAGGCAAATTTGTAAGGGAAAATTTCACTCATAATTGCTATAGGATTGAGAATGTTTGAATAATTGCCTAACTTCACTGAAAACAATTTGAAGGGAGACAGTGTATGATTTGAATGCACACATTAGTGAAGACCAAAGGAGGTTTCCCTCCCCTCTTGGCTGTCAAATAGAAATGATATGAGTATATTTAGGATGGATCTAGGGTAGAAATAGGTTCAACTTAATAGTTGAAAGGTATCGAACCCCAATAATTTGACGACGTAGAGGAATTCTGACTGTTTCGTTTCTCGATTTCCACCCCTCTAAGGGCCAATTTTTTTTTCTATAGTCACATCCATATCTAATTCGATTTTTTTTTCATTTTATTGCAGGATGAAAAACTCTTGTCCGTACTTACTGAACGAATGCCCTCTGGAGCTAAGACTCTGGATGAACGAATTGTGACCGTGTGCAGTGGACTCGACCTTGTCAACATATCCTACACCAATTTTGTTGCAACTTCTCCTGAAGTGGCTTCGGTAAGTTGTATTCCCTCTCTCATTTTCTAAATCTGGCCCAAGATTGCAAATGCTGGATGGTTTATTGATTGGAGAGTTGTTGTCGTCTATGCCCAAATATTTATACCTTCCGGTCAGTAATTACTTGGCGCACAAGAGCAGAAGTGTAATTCGCTCACGCATTCCTCCTCCATTTCAATTTCAGAGGCGACACACCATAATTGGAGCTCTCGGAGCTGCTAGTAATTAAATATTTATTATTGAAGAAGAGTCTGCACTTTTTCATTGATATGAATACCAACAATTACCTTGTATACTCTACCCTCCTCCATTTCTTGTTTTATTTCTTCTCTATGTTAAATGCCCAAATGTAGGGTGTGTTTCTCTTAGCTTAAAAGCAAGAAGTGCTGCCAATCGTATCGTTCTCTTAAAAGACATCATTACCTTCTGCTTTGTTGAGTCCAGGTTGATCAAATAGTGGAATCTCCGATTCTCTGGTCTGCTAACATCACCGGTTCTAATGTCCTCTTTTAGTACTGTCTTTTTTCACAAAAAAACTGGATCTAATTTTTTGAGGTTATTTAGCACTTCTTCTTCTTTTCTTAACGTCAGCTCTGGATTCAATCGGTTCGAGGTCTCACTCACAACACCAAAGCCCAGAATGTCTGTCCAATGACTCAACTCCGGAAGCAGTAAGTTTTGTCTCCCACTTTTTTTTTTCATCTTCACTCGCTTACCATGCTGATTGATCTCGGCGATTGAGGCAGTTTTATTTAAATTAATTAGGCTTGTTGTTTATGAATTTCTTTCCTCCACCTCCTCCTCCCTCCCTTCTCTTTGGGATCAAAGCCAATGACAGAGGGATATTTTTTTAATCTCATCATCAGGATCGGTACTTGGGAAATAGTAGAAGCACCAGTCTTTTTTTCTGACTCTGTGCTTGAATTCACATGCATGACCCACAGTCTCATCTTTCTTTTCTCCAAAGGAGAACAAAAGCGTTTTATAGGAAGAGAAGCATGGTCCCTTTCTTTAGAGTTAGTATTTGAGCAGTATGAGTGAAAGAGAGAATTAGAAGCGCCTCACTTCATCGGTGTCTCCAACTCGTCAGATCAACTGATTTTCGTTTACCTGAAATGACAATTATATCTTTTCTTGTTTTCGTTTTCTTCATAATGAAAATCACCGAGACATTTTTTGTTTTTTTTTCTAGAACTGTTGTCTTTTCGGGTAGTCAAGGTAGCGCCTACAAGTTGGTATATTATCTTTGAGTCTGTGCTGATCCTTCCACGCATAGTTCTTCTCTTAGGTACACTTTTCCAATGATGGTTGATGTTTGTTAAAGGAAGTAATAGATTTCTCCACGTCATTGATTATCCTGCGGAATTTGCCTCAAAAAACTCTTTGGGTTTGTAAAACATGAATTACCCCCACTTTGACAAAAGCAATTTTACTAGCATTTTGGCCAGTATCTCATATTTTCTGCAAAGATTCAGCCATAACTTGAACCCTCGTCTTTGTAATTGTGGTGTAGGGTTCCTTAGGAGGGACGTTTTTACTAATGGAACTCCTGTCCCACAATTTAATTGGCTGCTAGTAGCATAACGGTGGAAAGCTTAATTAAATCGAGTCGTATTGGTTAGAAAAGTAATGGAATGTTATTGAGCAATTAACTGTTTATTGTCTCCAATTAAAGAATTTTAAAGGTTTTTTTCGCTTAAAATAGTGAATGGCTTAGTTTTTTCTGCAACTTTTCTATCTCACATTCACTTTCAAGAATTTGCTCATACAAATGAACATTCCGGTTTTTCAGTAAAATAATTCATGGAGAATCGATTTCCACTGTAATAATTCTTCTTCTCCATTCAGTTGGTTGCGAATAACTTTAACTGTGAACCCCCGTGGAAAGATCCCTGTTCGAGTGGTGACAAAGACTTTTGCTTCGGGTCGGAACGAGCGAATTATCTTCCAAAGTCTCAAGGATCTGGGTCTACCCTCTGGAAAGGTGAGTTGTGGAGAGTCGGTTTTATTCCTCCAATATCTGCATTTCCAATACGTGGCATTTGCGCTAATGCACTTAAGCATATTTATGCATGTATCTCTAACTCTAAGGACAATTCTTCTTCTCCAAACTCTTAGTTAAGCTTTGAAATGTAGATATCTATCTTTAGATAACCTTTTGTTGTATTGATTGATTAAATAAATTCACAGTATGCTTAATAGTACGCGAAATAGCTTCTATTTTTGTATTTAGTGAAATGAGAGAAATGATGATTTACAACTTCGTTGTTTCAGGCATTTTAATAATATAATTTACTTAAAGACGAGGCAAAGGAATCTGCTTATCAGGGTGGTGGAGGGGTAGATTTTAATCGCTTAAACACTCTCAGCATAAGCGAATGTCTGAGTGATTTCATTTTTCTTCTCTTTTTTTCAAATCTTTTGAGTGCATCAAAATTGGCTTTTGAAGATTGCGTTTTCTACATCTAATGCCAAAATCCCCCCCCCCCCAGATCTTATTTTGTCAGTGCTTTCAAGCCATTGTGGTAGATCGAGCGATTTTAATTCCTAGTCTCGAGTTGATTGAGAGAAAGGCTCTACCTTGGAAGTTAGTTATTTTTTGATGAGGAAAAGTGGGAAACTACCGGCTCTCCCCACTTTTAAGATCGGCAAGGGATAGAGCCAGTTACGGAGCAGATAAGTAAGTAGAAAATGGGGAGAAGGTCACAGGCCCGAAGCAGGTAAACTAAATTACTACGAAGTAGTATTAGTAGTAGTTAGCTCCGGAAAGTCAGTGAACAGTTTAGAGGTCATAGGATAAGTTAACACGGAGAAAAGTGAAGGGTTAGAGTAGTATTTTTTCAGTTCATAGGCAAATTAAGAGCTTAACTCGATTTGCATCGATCATGAAATTGTCATACTTTCTTCAGTGCGCTCACCTGCGTAGAAGTGGGATCTGGCATGATAAACTACTATTGCTTATGATGTTCAGTGAGTTTTGATTTTTCATTAATAATCGAGCTTGCCATTTCCAATAACCGCATAATCTTGTTAACTAACCAAGTTCTATTCCAGATTTCCCTTGAACATGTTTGTAAAAAAAACTGATGTAGGAATAATCTTCACTAATTACTTGACGTCCGTTTTAAGAATACAACTTTGGGGGGGGGGGGGGGGGGAGGGAGTCGTGACCGGTGCGAAGGTATTCTTTGACCAACTTTTAGGGTTATAGGACTTTTCATAAAAAAATTAGATATTTATTTTATGAATGCAATTGGCTTTAATTTTTTTTTCAGCGAATTTGAATGCCCTATTCTTGTTTTCGTGAAACTATTTTTGCAACTCCATTTGTTTTGCTTTCTAGAGTAAATAAACAAACAAATTTTGCTGCTATAAATAGTTGAGGTTTCTACTTGCTAAGTGGAAACTAGGCCCTGTTGTTGATCTTAGTCTGTGTTTAAAATGCTTCATATTCAGGTAGGGTGGATGAATTTGGCTGAGGCAATCCATTTGCCTATCCATGCGTGTTTGCTATTGATACTCTATTATCAGGATTGAATGTGTTTTTTTGTATTAACAGGTGATGCATTAAATGCCTTTGCTGTTTAAAAAAAATTGAAGCATTTAGAAGAGATTACGCTGCATTTTTGTGTGTGTATGTAGTGATCTTCGCTATAATGCAAGAACAGAGTATTTAGGTTCTGTGAATACACTTGTAAACGTCCCGTAGTATTTTGCCAGCTATTGCATAAAGAATTCCTCTGAATCCGATCTTCAATTTACATATATGTCTTCTACGTCAGTTGTAGCGAAATCTCGACTCACCAGTGCATATCAGATGATGTAAATGATCGAACACAATAGTTAATTTTAGTTGGGTGTATGTGTGTGGGGTGGGGTGGGGATGGTGGTTCTCAACTTCTCATTTGAGTAATTTTAGGATATTTTCTATAACGCTTTTCTTGACGGCCCCGGGCCTACTATCCTCCATTTAGGCCCTTTATGCAGTTTCTGGTTCACCTCTTCAAATTAATAAAATTATTAATTATGTGTTAATTTTCAGATGAGTTAGTAATACTTGTGCGCTATACCTAATATGGTTTCTCTCACGTTTATTATTTAAGATATTATTCAATATATTAAACAGAGACGAAGCACATGTGTTGAAAAGGATGTCTTTTACACTTGTAGACTTTTCCATGCTCTGATTATCAAACGGAGAGGTGGTTGAAACATGAAGACTACGCTCTTCTCCGGAAGCACAAAATGGAGCTCTAAGTAGATCGAGGTGTTTAGGTGTATTTATAGTTGTTGTTCGTTCACGGATTTTCCAACATTGGTTTTCGTGAACGAAAGTTTGCTTTCCTCCAAAATGTCAGTTTCAAACGCTATTTTTCAACAGAAGGGAAATTACACAAGATTTTTTGATCGAACACTGATGCAATTCTATTCTTTATTGGCTTTGCTAAAAATGCAAGTATGTGTATTCTTGATGTAAATAAAAACAATTTAAAAAGTGCAACAAGTGTGAACAGATGGATGAACTGCCAGTTGTCAACATTTGCAAAGTTCAAGAGCTCATTTGCACATGTCTGATTGTATCTTTTAAGGGGTTAAGTTTATCGAGATTTACAAAATATTTGTCGTATTTTTCGTCTTCCCATGTTGGATTGTTGTCGACTTAATACACTATGCTTATGCCAAATAGTATTAGACAAAGCTTGTTATTTGGCAAAACTTACTAGTTAGAAAAAAATAGTTATCGATTTTTTTGAATATTGTGAGTTTAATGGCAATTTTGAAAGTCAGTAAAACTATGGCTAATAATAATGCCTACGTCAATCTCAGCTCTTTTTATTTCTGAGATTTATAGTAATATCTACCAATTGGCCTTTATTCGAAGCTTGCCATCACTGCAGATCTGTACTAAATGAATGCCCTTATACACCGATCTAAGGCACTGAGGGGTGGATATTATGTCTTTTTAATCCTTTGGTGTGGGGAATGTAATGGCCTGCCATTGGGTCAAACTACCAGTTTGGTTATATTAAATTCCAGAAATAAAGGCAATGAATATATGCAATCATAAAGGGGGGGGGATGGGAATTAATTTGAGGCCCTTTTATTATGAAAACTCGATCTCTACTCTATTTTTCCCACATACCACTCTCTTACTAAAAAAGCCGGTTTTTAATACGCTCGGTAACGTGTATTCTTGATTGTATTTCGCTCATGAACCTTCTTGCTCTGATGTGCTGCTAGGTCGGTTTCTTTCTAACTGATTGAAGAAATTTTTCCCTGCTCCCACTTTATTGGTTCACATCACTTCCCATCATAGATTTATCGATTCGCAGGCATATATATATATATATAATACGTCTCGGAAATATACTAGATCTTTGGGATCTCTGTAATCGGAGAGGTTTAAATTCGAAATAGGCCTACTTTAGATTGTTGTTAGTTGGAGTTTCGCACATGTAGGTGGTTTTCCAAAATTGGCAAATTTTTTTAATTACCTTGTTGTGATCGAGTGCATTAATCTGGAAGCACTGCAAATTGCAGTGGTGAATAGTAGGTGTGAAAATAGGGTTCCCTTCAATGCCTTTTCACTACCTGCCCTGGTGCATGCTTGTGGATGTTTTTGCAAGACAACGTGTTCTTGTTGACGGAACAGATGGCCATCATGCACTCATGCTTCTCTCACCCCCCCCCCTCCCTTTCCACTTTTTGCACATTTTCCCTGCTTATTCCAATTGTGCATCTATTATCCACACTTTTGACTTTTTTGCCATTTCACGTTGTTTTACACACACACACACACACGTCTCATAAATAAGAATTAATTATTTGCTATTGACTGGTAGGCAACCAGTAAAATGGCATTAGCAAACGTGTCGGCTGAAATTGGTCAAGGAAGACTGTGTGTAGCTCAATGCGAGTCTCATCACATGGGCTTCTCAGCCCGTTAATTTCGTCGGAAAAACTTTCCTTCTAGAGACTTAGATATGATTCTATCAATCACTTAACTTACATTAAAGAGTTCTACCATTATCATCATCTTAATCCCAATCCTCTTTTTATATGTCTGGAAATTTTAGGCTAAAAGGAAAAAAAGTTGAATATTTGTGTTTTCTGTTAGCGATATGAATTAACTGGGGGAGAATAGATTCTCCTTAAATTGAAAATATTGCGGATAATTTGCTTCACCTCTTTAACCACTTGAAACATACCATTTTTCGAGCAAAGCTGGTGGCAGTAGCATGATCTGAACATGTTTTTTTCGTTAATAAAATAATTCTGATTTGCCTGAGACTTCATCGATTAAATCTCATTTAAATAAAAATGCTATTTTTAAGTGAATTTTTTTATCAGTCGAGATTCGTAAGGGTCTTTGAAGCTATTTTTAGCATTCCCAAGTGTATTTGGGTCGTTATTTTTAATCCCAAATTAAACTATATTGTTAACTTATAACTATTATTTCTAAAAAAACAGGGGTTCTTTGTTATCCTTAAGTTTCTTTGTCCTTTGATATACCATTTCGAATTTTTGTGGTTAATTTCGGATTTTTATTGCTAATTAATTTAATAACTCGTGTTTACAAGGCAGTAATGAACCACTGTTTTCGATGAGAACTAGTTATACGTTATTAATGTCTTGTAATATTTTGGCTTGTTGAAAAAAATATAATTTTTTGATATTTTAAAACAATTACTGTTAAAATAGTATTGTCGAGGTACCGCAGACTATCATAAAGGAGTGTACACGGCCCATTGTCCTTGTTATAAATGGAGTTATGATCCTAAGATATGAACGATTTTATTTTCAAAGCGTATTCGATTTGAAAATGAGTCAAGTTGCTCCTACTCTATCATTTGATCAAATGACAAAAAAATTTACCTAACGACTGGGGCTTTTGTCCCGTGTAACTCGTAAATATCTTCTGAAATTTATGGAATCTCATATCGTATGTGATAATAAATGCAGGAATTATTTAAGCGCAGTGTGGTTGCTTACATACTTTCTTGTTCTATCTTCACTTTTAAAACAATGTGTTAATTTAAATTCTTTTTTAACTCGTAACTTTTAAAAAATGTTATACTAATGAATTTCGTATTTTTTCTAGAATGACGAAGTTGAGCCCTCTGAATTCACGTTTGAACGTTTCTACGAACTCTACCACAAGATCTGTCCTCGAACTGACATCGAGGAGTTATTTAAGTCCCTGTATGTTGTTCGATCCCAATTTCTTTTCATATACAAAATAATTTAAATTTTATTATTTGTCTTACTATTAATCTGTAGATCCAACGGCAAGGACACAATATCTGTGGAAAAGATGATTGAATTCCTCAACGAGGTTCAACGTGATCCTCGTTTGAATGAGATTCTTTATCCCTACGCCAATCACCAAACCATCCGCTACATTCAAGAGACCTACGACTCACGTGATAAGAATTCAAATTCTGGTATGTGTCGAACAGTGGGTGACATTTGCGCAATCATTTTTCCTCTTTCCTGTTTCCTGCCATTTTTCTTCCGCCCTCGTCTTGCCTCTCTTTGCATCCTCTGGCGCGCAGCCTTCGCGATATTGGTCCTGGTCCCGTCCAGGGGCTAAATTGTAGATACTTTCCTGGCAGCGTCCCTTCAATTTTTGCCAAAAAATAATTGTTTTGATTTTGGTGGCTGAATTGGCAATTTTACGTCGGTGATACACAATAGACTATATGCCTCTTTGTCGTCTTATTTGTAAATTCAGTGCAAATTATGCTATTTGGAAAAGTTGTTAACTCCATCTGCAGATTAGGAATTCATGGTAGGAGTCTGGAAAGATGCGTTCCATAAAAATTCGGGATTTTTACTTCTCACAAGGGTCTTTTGAAGTGTGCCACGGTGAATGTAATCCCAACACAGCGAATGATTGTGAATGATCGATCATCGCCGACATGTTGACTGAATTATTGAGCTACTTTTCTTTTTTGCTTGTCAAATATTGCTCCTGTGTTTTATAGTTAGTATTGTAAGGAGCAGGGTCCTAATAATTATTTACCAAAAAAGCCTTATACCATGCAAAGGAGACAGGAAGTTACTGTCTTGCCGCACGAGACGAGAAGATATGTTTATCTCGACAGGTTAGCTCCTTATCGAACCTCTACGCCATCTGTGTTTTCCTGGTTGGTCTGCTTTCTTCCGAACTGGGTAATGAGGTTGCCAGCTTTCCTACTTCCCACCATTCATGCTTAGCAGCGGCTCGCAACATCATTTGTATTCTTATGTCCCGTTCGATGTTTGTCTTACATGTGCTTCATTTTTTGGCCCTTTATCTTCGAATTGTCAGCACCTAACTACCCACTTTGCGCCTTGGAATGACGACATGCTCCTGCCAACTTCTGTCCCTCTAACTATTTCGAGACTTTTGAGTTTGAGTTTGAGTTTAAGTTAAAGCTCTAACCTCCCTTTAAGTTGGCCGTAGTAGCTTTTTCACATTACTCTTATGATAAGGCGAACGATTTCAAAATTCCCTTAAAATTAAGTGTATAAATTAGTAATGCGCGCAGGATGCAAATAAATATTAGTTCGTATGAAAGGCTTGAAGGTGGTAACTACGTTTTTATGTCTTGACTAACAGTCTGTTAATTTATGATCTTAATTGAAATCCATATTGGTTAATATTATGATAGGTTGGGAAAAGCTACCGCCCACCTAAAGAGGTAGTTATTTGATTAATTATTTTAAGAAGCCTAATTTGCAATGACACTCCATTGGGTTTGAAAATGGCGTGAAGGGAATGCGATCCCGTGAATAAATAATTCATTTCAATTATGCATATTCACGCAATTTGACTGGCTCAAAAATTCGAGTAATAAAGTGCGAATTCGATATGAGTGGCAACTTTGTCGATGTGGGGACATTTGATGTGATTGAAAAGTTTGATGGTAAACAGGGAAACACTGGGTCCCTTTTTCCATGACTCTATGTAAGTATTTATTTTTATCAAATGGCAGGCGTTTTGACAGTTATCATTGGCCCTTTAGTTGATTTCAGGCTTCACAGAGGGGAGGAGGAACATCAAAGTGGCAAAAATTGGAGAGGAGGAAACAGGAGAGTGCTTCACAGATGTAAAAGAGACAGACACAAAGGTAGAAAAAGGTGAGGTGAGAATTGCGGATGTGGCCGAATATGACATACAGTGGGGTCATGGTAGTTTGAAGCAGAAGTCAACTGCCGGCTGGTAGACTTTTTTTGCCGTAAGAGAATACGTTGCCCAGGGTGCATCACGTGGAGGTAAGTCTGTCCCACACCCCACTCTATGTGAGTAGATGAGTCCTCGACTTCTCACCGATATATTTACTCCCATTTGCCTACCTACACACCGTAACCGTAACTCGCCTCGATATACTGAGATGTGGTCTACTGATGACGCGATTGTTTACTCTCCGCGTATTACAATATTTGTTATATTTAAAGGTTTCTCACATTTGGTGAGGTGTATATTTATAACGAAGGGAAGTATTTATTAGTTTGGATAATTGTTTCTATTTAACTTGACAACCCTGTTTTACCTGCAATTGATCCAAGTTAGACTATTCTTTTAATTACTAAGTGGTTGTAACCCATTTGATGAATGTGTTGTTCGCCTTATTCCTGATATGATCATATTAATTCGCAATTAGGGCATTCTAAAGTTGTTAATATTTCTCCCACTCAAATCGTGGATAATATTTGCTCACTTTTGTTCATTTTCTTCCAGATACAGTGAATTTGAAGGGTTTCTACCGCTATTTGATGTCAGATGACAATGCTCCGGTGTTTCTCGATCGGCTAGATATCTACCAAGATATGGATCAGCCGCTTTGCCATTACTACATCAATTCCTCCCACAATACCTACCTTATTGGTCGACAATTTGGCGGCAAATCCTCAGTGGAGATCTATCGACAGGTTCTTCTTGCTGGCTGTCGGTATGTGTGACCTTGTGTTACTTGTTGTTACTTGATACGAAGGGCAATCATACTTCAAATAATCAACGTTAGTTATGAGTATTAAAATATAGTAAGATTTTGTTTTCAGCTCTCATAGATTGGTCTTTTTTGTTATTTGTCCATTGACAGTATATGTCAGCAGACCAGTTGTCTATTCCATCTCAGGCTTTTTGTAAATAAGAGAAGATTAGATTCTATGTCACCTTCCTTTGGATTTTTTTCACATCACAATCAAGTGAAATTTCCTTCTAATAATCAGCTAGTTTTTTAGGAAGGGAACTGTGTGTTAATTCACTTTTCAAGCTTTTTTTAACTGTTTTTTTTTTCAAGCACAAGATGTTCAGCAGGGTGGTCTTTTAAGAAGGCAAATTATCGAGTAGAGATACCATTTGGTATTACAAGCATAAATTTAGACTTCTTGAATTTGCCTTACCTGGGTTGTCATTCATTCCACTCCTATTACAGGGTTTTGACGACTTATTCGCCTTTCACTAATCAAAACTTATTGTCTCTATGCTATACTCATTGCTTCGAATAAGCTAATCCAAACAGTCATCATGCAACGTTCTCCTTTATTCGTCCCTTACCGTACCATTGTCTTTATTCCTTTTCCTTATTGAATGGCACATCTGCTTACAATATTGCCCTCGGCTATCAGGCCCAATACTACTTAATCTCTTAATGAAGTGGAATTTAATAGTAGGCTTTATTTTTGGTACAATAGTTGGTTTGGTTTTCGTGATTCTAGCTTTTGTGTTCTGTTGTCACGTTTGTTAATTTAACCTTTCAATCTTGTGTGCTATTCCCTGTGCCAATGTGTTTATTCACCTCGAATTTGTAGACCACAGGTGGCAGTTTATCGTATTTGTTTCTTGTTCTCTACCAACCCAAACCGGTTTGTTTCAAACCACTTCGGTCTATTACTAAAATGACAGGTTATTTGTTTTTCCTCTCTTTAACTAAAAACTACTGTTTTGTGCGAGTATCTGCAGGTGGTTTTTTTTGCCTTTCACACCACTCACGTCTATTTTTACACGCTGGGAAAACGGATTACTTTGGCCAGTGCCAGCATGTTTATGCATAATTTAGAAAACTGTGTAATTTTCTATAATGGTTTTGGCTGGGGGTGGGGGAGGGAACTAGTTGTTTGTTGTTGCTTGGTCTAGAGATCCAACTGGCCAATCGGATCTTGCATCTCTTCAGACCATCTAACATGGTGAATTGCGTAGTTTACTCTTGAGTTAGATAGCGACAATCTTTATTGGGGTGCTCTTTTTTTTGAATCCCTGCCTGACTGATTTCTTAATTTGGCAATATTTTCATCTGATAAATTCAAGAAGCACATTTTTCGTTTTATTTTTTCCTTTATTGAATCATTTAAAATATTGTTCAGTAAAGCTATTTGTCTCTGCTTCATGTTTTTGGACACGTTCTGGGTAGTTTATACCCAACTAGATCATTTATACCAAATGGCAGGCGTTTTGATAGTTGTCATTAGCCCTTAGCTGCCTTCGAATTTCACAGAGGGGAGAAACATCAAAGTTAGAAAAATTCAAGAGGGAGACCGAAGAGTGATTTGCAGGTGTAATAGAGACAGACACAATGATAGAGAGTAGGGTAAGGTGAGTACTGTAGAAGTGGTCGACTATGAAATACAGTGAGGTCATGGTAGTTTGAAGTCAGAAGTCAGCTGTCGAATAATTGGGTTTTTTGCCGTATGAGTATACGTTGGCGCACCACGTGGAGGTAAGTCTATCGCACCCCCCCCCCCCCCTCCCCACTAGATCATATTGTAGTTGGTGTCATCTAATTAACACTCAGCAATTTAGTCGATGTTTGGTTCTCTAAATTCAAATCTTATAAAATAATTGCGGTTTAATGTCTGCCTCCTTAGTATCACAATTGGGATGTTTGGCATTCTTAACGCACAGGCTTTCAGTTATTTTAAAAAGTTCACATTTTTTATCAAATTTAGAGTGTTACAAATCATGCATAATGTTAGATATATCCTTCAAAAGGGTCGATTTAGTTAAGTCACGTAGTTCTTTTATCCTTTTTTTAATGGCCACTAATCATAATCGCAACCTGTAAGTCATAGAACCTTAAGCTTACTTAGATGGAGGGAAATGTTTTGAATTCGGGGATTTGGGAAATTCACTTTATATCCGTTCTCTTGTTGACTGGAATTCATTAATGTCTTCTCACACACTTCAGTTAATGGTAGCCAATCATACACCCTCTTGATTGGCAAGCAAACAAGTTGGCCACTAAGTGTACCTATTGTGTAATGAGTGCTTCAAATAAATGGAAATCTACATCAAATGAGCGCATTGTTAAAATAAAGTGAAGGGGATTATATTTAATCACTACTGACACCAGGCATTTAAGAATCCCAGTTGCCTAATCATATTTGTTTTAATATTAATTTTTTTCTCGATACCTTTATTCAACAAATTTAATGTAGAGTCTGCAGAGTTTTGGAGAGAAAATGAAAAACATTTTCCTCATTTCATTCCTTCTTTGTATTTTAGATGCATTGAACTCGACTGCTGGGATGGCAAAGGTGAAGACCAAGAACCCATAATTACTCATGGAAAAGCAATGTGCTCCGACATTCTCTTTAAAGTGGGTCTCTAATTCTCTCCACTTCCCCCTTACTTTGTTGCAACCTGATGTGCGTACATTCTATTTCCTTCATCTAGGATGTGATATACGCAGTCCGCGACACGGCCTTCGTAACTTCGGATTACCCTCTCATTATGTCTTTCGAAAACCACTGCAGGTATGCCTCTGCTGGGCCTGTAATTATCTCGCCTTTCCTTTTTCGCTACGTTCTCTATGTCGTCTTTTCCTAATCGAAATAATAAATGTGTTTTGAACTATGCTAGGTTCAATGAGCGACGATTGGTTGAAATTTGAATCCTTTGCTTTAAAAATTCCAGCTATTTCCACTAGTTCTTATATGGGGCTCCTCGTTTGTAGCTGCTACTCTAAACGACTTCTTTCGCTGAGGTTAATTGAATGCTAAATAGCTTCAATTCCTCCCTCTTCTATTATGTGTCCAAGTATGCTTATTACTACTACCTTCCACATTCTCTCTCGCGGTTTAGTCATGAATTCCACATTACGGGTGTGTACCCTAAAATAGCCATCTCCTTCTCGGTAGTAGTGTAGAGGTGCCGCTACGTCTTGGCAATATGCTTGCGAGACCATTTTTTGTACGCTTGTGTGTTGGGGGGGGGGGC